ATAATAATCAAATTTATTTATAATAATTTATTTAAGTTTTCTTATTATTAAAAATTTTTAATTTTAAAATATAAATTATAAAAAATTTTAATAAGATAAGTGTTCAAGTAGTCTTAAATAAAGTTATTTATCATACTCTCAAGTTATATATAAATTTTTATGTTATTTAAATAAATATTTATGAAGAAAATTAAAAATTCCAATTTTTTTTGATATACTGTATATTTTCTAAGAAATGAAATTCTAAACATTAAAATATTTTGAAAGTATGCAAAAAACATTTATTATCCAAAAAATTGCATGAATTTGATGAAAAATATAAAACCAATTACAATTAAAGTAATAAAAGTGTTTTAATAGAATTTTCTGTTCTAAAAAGAAATTTATTTAAATAATTGAAATCAAAATATTGTCTATTAAATATTTAAAAATTACATATTAAATCTAGAATTACTTTTTTAAAGCAAGTTTTTATAAATTATACATCAAATTTTTAGCTGATTTGTAACAAAATTATTTATAAAGCTATTAATATTTATTATTTAATATTAATTTCTAAAATATTAGTTAAAATATGTTAATATTCTAAAATAATATATTTTATTTATATAATTTCAGTATAATTCTTAAATAAAATTTAAAATATAAATTAATTTTATTTCTAGTAAAATAATTATATTTATATTAATACAAAATAAGCTTAAAAAGCTTTTTTAAAGTTTTAAATATTTAAATATTTAATATTATTAAACTTTTAGTATATTAAAAGTTAAAAATAGATAAATATTTGAAATTATATAATATATTAACTAAAATAAAGAATTTTTAATTAAATATTTAATAAAAATATATTAGATATTAGTAAAAATTATATTGAAATTTTGTAAATTTTTTTAAAATAGAAAAATTTATTAAAAAATATAATATATAATATTATTATTAATTTGAATTTTATAAAAAAGATTATTATTAATTATATTTATTTAATTAAATTAATTTAATAAAAATTAATTATATAAATATAATTGAGATTAAAATGACCAAAAAAATTATAATTTTATATATTTAAACAGTTAAATCAATCAAATACTTCAAATCTTAATTTATAAATATATATTACTATTAAAATTTATATAATTATATAGTATATAATATATAATTAGATAATATTAACTATGTATATATAATAAACTTACTATTTTATAATAACTTCTATTTATTATTTAAAATATAAAATATTATAAAATTATAAAATAATATATACTTGTATATTATTTTAATTATTTATATATTATTTTAAATATATTATATATTTTATTTTAAAATATATATAAATTTTTTATTAAAACTAATTTTTAAGATAAATTTATAAATATTTTATAAATATATTATTTTTGAAAGTATAAGTAAGAATATTAATTAAAATTTATGAACTTTAATAAATAATATAATATTAAAATTAAAATTATAATAATTATTAGTATATTTAAATCTTTTTATAGTTATAATACTTTAAAAAAATAAAATTAGATAATTAAAAAAAGATATATTTATAAAGAAATTTTTTTATTATAAAAAAATATAATTATAAAAAGCTTTAATAATATATAATTTATTTTAATTATTATAAATATCTTTAAATTTTAATAAAATAATAAATTTATTAAAAATCAAAAAATTAATAAATTATTATACTTAAAAAAATAAAATTAAATAATTATAGAAAGATATAACTATAAAAATTTTTTAATTAGTAGTTAAAAAATTTAAAAAAAATAATTATTAAAAAAATTATTATAAAAAGATATAACTATTAAGAAAACTAACTATATAATTTTGAATATAAATATTTTTTATTTTTTTATTTATATATTTCTTATTTTTTTATTTATCTTTTTTCTTATTTTTCTTATATTTTTGTTAAAATTTCTCTTTTTTATTATATAATAAAAATCTATAATAAAAAATAAGATTATTATTATTTTATTTATTATATAAGTTTTTGTTTTATTATAAATAAATATAAATATTAAATAAGTTATATTATTATATTTAAACTTAAAATAATCTTATATATAAAAATCATAATATTTTTTTATATTATAATAATTAAAATCAGATTTAAAAATATTAATAAAAAAAGTATAAAAATATATTAAAATTAGAGTATATTAAAATAATATATTTAATCTATTAATATTATATAAAAAATCTATATTATAAAAAATATATGTTATTTTTAAAAAATAAAATTTAAAATTAATATATATATTGTAATCAGAATAAAAAGTAATAGTAAATATATTTTTTACCTATAACTTAATAAGAAATTACTAGAAATTTACAAAAATTTGATATTATATTCTTTAAGATAATGAAAACAAAATTTTCTAAAATCATAATACATATCAATATAGTAATATTTTATAGAATTATGTACTAAAGATGACAGATTAGGAGAAAGCTATTCTGATTAAAATATAATAAAAAATTATTTAAAAATATTTTTTATAAGCAAGTATAAAAATAATTTTATAAAAATATATTTAAAAATATAGAAAATATTTTATAATTTTAAAAAAATTATTAGTTATTATTTATTGAATAAATACCAGTCAAATAAAGTCTTAATTTTCATAAATTTCATAATAAAATATAATAAAATAATATTTTTATTATATTTTATTATATTTTACTATATTTTATTATAAAATTTATTAAAATTAAGTCTTTTTTTGACTAGTATTTATTCAATAAATATTAACTAAAAATTTTTTAAATTATAAATATATTTTTTATATTTTTAAATATATTTCCATAAAATTATTTTTATACTTGCTTATAAAAAATATTTTTAAATAATTTTTTATAGTATTTTAATCAGAATAGTCTTCCAACCCATTATCTTTAGTATATAACTTCATAAAATATTACTATATTAATATACTTTGTAATTTTAGAAAATTTTGTTTTTGTCATCTTAAAAAATATAATACAAAATTTTCATAAATTTTTAGTAATTTCTTATTAAGTTATAGATAAAAAACATATTTATTATTATTTTCTATACTAACTATAATAAAAAATAAAAAGATATTACTTATAACTAGAAAAATAAAAATTAATAAAATTTGAATTAAAATTTGAAAATATCACTTATAATTAAAATAAGATATTAATAATATAATTTTTATAATACAATAAAATTTAATATTAATTATTTATTAATTTTATATATTAACTATATTTTTAATAATTTTTTAAATACATAATTTTATATTTAAAATTTTATATTAATAAATATTTTTAATTTTATAAATATTTTTTAAAAATATAATTTTTAATAATTTATTTTTATTTTTAATTTTTATTAATAATTTTATAAATAAATAATTTTATATTATATATTATATATAATATAATTAAAATATAAAAAATAATATATTCTAAAAATTTTTTTCTTAATTTATTTACTATTAATTTTAACAAATCAATATTAAATAATATTAAAATATTTAATTTTATAATTTCTTAAATTTTTATATTTTTTAAAATATATTATTAATAATTAAAATATAAAATTTTATTTATTAAAAATATAATATAAATTTTCAAAAAATTCATATTTATTCTTGCTAAATAATAAAATATCTTTATTAATTAATTCAAATAGATAAATATTATTATCTTTTTATTTTAAGCTCTATATTAAGAATAATTATATAAGTTATTAATAAAAGTATAAAATATCTTAAAGTAAATATATTATATTAAATCTAATTATATAAACTTACAAATTTTATTATTTTTTAATTATTAAATTGAGAATTTCTCAAAATTACAAATAATTTTATTTTATTAAAAAAATATTTCTTTTTTATTACAACAAAAAGATCAAAAAAATCCAGTTTATCAGAAACTTTCTTCTTATTATTCAGAAATTAAAAGAAGAAACTCATTCTTCATAACTTAGATAATAATATATTGAAGCCAAGATAAATGACATAAAACTAGTTCATATTACTATCACAGTAAAAAAATAAAATTAGAAGAAAGATTGGAAAAGCAGAATAAAAATAAATCAAGAGCATGTGAACATATTGAAAGAAATCATGATGCTCGAGATTCAAATTCTAAGAGTTCAAAGTATTATATCTGTAGAAAGATGAATTATATCTCCTATAACTCTGGTCTCCATTGAACTACATTTGACCATTCTTTTATACAATTAAAAAGTGATTTTTTAGGTAATAATCTTTCAGATCTATAAATATTATAAGCAATCAAGCTAATGTCGTGTAAAAATTATTGCAAAACTAAGTCTAATTCAAAATTAAATTTAGAAATACGATAAATTACTATGCATTATGAAAATTTTTAGTAATAAGATTTTAAAATTATAATTAAAAAATAATTAATAAAATTAAGAAAATATCGTTTTTATTTCTTCGCAAAAATAATAAACTGTGTTATCAACTACTAAACATTCTTAAACTTTATTAGTAATTTGTTTCGAGATTTTATGCAAATTTTTGACTTTAATGAATTGTGATTTTAGCAAAAAATTGATTTTTTCCAAGCTTTCTTAATGATTTAATGATCAAACACTAATGATCTCACTAATCACTTTCAAACCGCTTTATCCATCTTTGACGTTTGGTTGTCGGTATCATTCCATCAAGAACATTAAGTTTGACACAATTCTCGCTTGTTTCACCCCAAAGAAGACGCGAATACTTTCTTCTTCGTGTAACTACATGCTGCCAATAGACATCTTCATTATTTAAAGATCCATCACTTAATAAAACGTTGACCATCCCATTGCAGTTAATACATAATAATCGAGTGTCTGCACCACCACCATCACGAGCATTATCTCCACAATGTGCACATATTTTATTCGTTCGGGAAGAAGGAATAGTAGTAGTACGTTCAGTAAGTAGAGGTAAAGAGACTTCTATTGGTGTTAATGATGTTGGTAATAGTGGAGGTAATGCTTCAACGCCAACTCGAGTATTATCATTATGATTGGTATTGGAAGTCTTGTATTTGAATGGGGGATGATGAATCAACAGTGTTATTATTTGAAATAATAAACTTATTAGAAGATAATTGCATGATTGTTTGACTAAGTGGGCTACTGACTTTCATCATTGAAGTTGTAGAGCAATAATTTTGATATCACAAACAATAAAAAATATAATCATAAATTAAATCTTTGCAAGGTATTCTTTACCTTCTTGCTTTGGTTTGATGTACTTTCCTTTCCCCCATTATTATTTTCTTTTTTAAGATTATACGCGTGAGTATCCTTTTTCACTGTGGAATCTGATGTTACCATATTTGATGCAACAGTGCTACTACCTTCTCCTATATTATTATCAGCAATAAAATCTAAATTTATCGATCCATGAATTTTATCTTTACTATCTCGGCGATTTGGTACATTTGAAGATATACTTCCACTTCCTTTTCGTCGATATCTTTTCATAGAAGTTGTGGAGGTAGTGCCACTCTGAATTTTCACATTATTACTTTCATCGTCCATCGACAAAGCAGCTACTAACGTTTCAGTAAAAGTAAACTTGACATTACTTACTGCTCCTCCTTCTACTCTCAATATCAAAAATTAAAAATTAATATAATATTATAATTCAAAATAAAAATTAACTTTGTATATTTAAAGGAATAAAAC